TATTTATTAGCAACTATGCGTGAGTGGAGAAAAAAGCAACGTGGAGGTTAATGAGAACCGCCTCCCCGCGGTGACCTCAAGATAACGCTAAATGGTTCTCAAACCTCAAGTATTATATTTTATTAAATATACTCGGTATGTAAACGGAACAGAATTATACAGGTATATACCTACGTGTGTACTCACACTGYTGCCATTCTCTTTTTAACATCAAAATATTATATACAACATATTGTCCACCGTCCCACTACCTATATACGACTGACGTTTTTTATTCGTAATAAAACCAAGTGCGACACGTTTTTGAAACTTTTAGATTGTTATCCGCTGGAGTTGAAMAATATGTCGTGTGACTATTGCTTGAACTTTATTACCATAATTCATTAACGTAGATAAATCACGGCTATGTCAGAAATCTTTGGTAAACTTCCAAATACGCTCAGAATTGTTTATTAAGACATATATTTAGCGCACGCGTTTTTATAATAACCTAACTCATAACGGATTATTATATTCACATTGTTCCTACGTCGCGCGTATTTCTTTTGAACACGGCTTCGTTTGTTTATCTTTCCCCTATTGATTTCTGGGTCAGGAAAATCCATTTCTCACGATAGTGGGTATACTTACGCCTGTCTTGGCCACGACGATCTTCGGATGGAAACGCGTGCATCATATTCACGATCCAACCATTAACTGGTATATAATATAACCAACTGGCGTCGTCGAACCAAGTAAACATTAATAATTATCACACGCGGTTGCAACGTCGGGGTCGGGCCCGAGGTGTCAGCGGCTTTTCAAAAAAAAAAAAAWAATAATAATAATAATAAAACAAAATTATAGACGGAGAATAAATCCAACACCATTATGGCGTTGACGGCGACGGTATTTTAATATTATATATTATTATCATTATTATTATACGCWGCATAATAGGTATATAATATTATTAAAATACAGTGTACGTGCCTAGACTTTAACGTGTGCTAACCGCGTTTCGGGCGGTGAGCGCGCGCGTACAATAAACGGGAGCTGAGCGATAGGAAGATGAGAGGAGTGTCGATTTCCAAGATGATGGTAATATAGTATATTATACACATTATAAAAACGAAAACGTCCGAATCGATAACATCAAATCAAACACGATGCTGAAACCCGTTTGGCGACTTTCCGTTGGTACCCATCGTATGTGTGCTGCAGTAAAATGTATAAGTATATATACGCGTATTATGTATACGCACTTAAATATTTTGGATGATTTAATTAAAATGAAAAAAAAATAGTACCTAACAATAATTAGAAAAAATGTTCCTTAAATGGAATTTGTTTTGGTATAATATAATATGCGAGTATTATATATGTTTAACTATTTTATAGTTACACGTTCCTTATTCATCTAATAGTGCGTGTTTATCTCTAACTATATAGATGTGAAATGAAAATCTTTGTAYGCGCGGGGTAAACTTTGGGACTACATATCTGATTTATTAATTATAACTATGCATTATTCATTTCGCGTTTTCGAGTTTTTGTAAATTTGTAAATCCATGGTAATTTGTCACGAGACGTTTTGAACACGACTCTCTCTTATGTGCCTTCACAACTCTGTAAGAGTTTTGGCTGTCTCCAAATATTCCTACTTACTATAGTTAGTCAACTCAATACTATTGAAACTTATTATAAAGACAAGCCTTATTATATTATATTGCCTTCAGCCATCTAAGACATGCAATGCGTTTTTGGCATTAACAATAAATATATGATTAAAGAAATGTCTGTAATAGATACAGAAACTTGGGGGACTCAACATAGGATTTTTAAACATTCCAAATCTATGCAAGATAACAMAAGTCGTAAAACCAACAATTGGCTGGAGCGTAATTATCTTATCARCTATCTATAGAATACGGTGACATAGAGTATGAAGTTGGTTTTTCAAATAACGGATTGGTATTTGTATWKTCCGAGATGCGATATGAAATGAACGGTATAGAAATACAAAAATTGAAATCACCTGGAGTGTCGTCTTGCTTGAAAGTGTACTGTTCGTATACTCCAAACGATTTGAATGCATTAGGAAATGCGGCTTGGGACTCAGCAATGGATAGTGAAGATATCAAAATTGTATGACCAATAATATATTTTCCGGATGTATGTAAAACATGTTTTCGGATTTYGTCATGATTACAAAAATATATTACTCAATTGCAATCAGCAGCTGATTTTAAATCGCGTATCTTCCGACCTTGATGTAGTGGGCAAATGCGCAACCACTGCCGTCGATAAAAATAAAAAAATTACAATTTAACTGACCAAGGTGACTTGGAAGATGCCTATTATCAAAGTCAGTGAGTGATAAAGAAAAATTAAAGTTATTGAAAGTATTAGATTCTCGTAGAACGTCATCGCGCGCGTTCAGAATCTGGGATCTATGCGAGTATCCCGTGCTCCCTAGAAATAATTCTCATTCGTGGACTGTTAAGTCTAGCAGCTTACTCGAAAAACCAAGGATTGTTTTGTTTGGATTACAAACAAGTAGAAAAAACAATATCGAACCTGACGCTGGGTGGTTTGATCACTGTCAATTAAAAAATCTTAAGGTACACTTAAATTCTGAAGTGTATCCATATGAACACTTTCGAGCTGATTTTAAAAATAATACCACCAGCATACTCTACAAAGCTTATACAGACTTTCAAAAATCGTATTACGAAAGAGATTATTGTGAACCATTGTTATCAAAAAGTATTTTTCAACACCATGTGCCAATCGCTGTTGTTAATTTGTCGTACCAGAACGACAACGTTAAATCATCAACCGTAGACCTACGAATTGAATAAATTTGAAACGAATACAGTTATTCCAGAAAAGACTACAGCTTATTGTTTAATACTACATGACCAGATTTATAACTTATAATCAGTTTAGTGGCGATGTTAGGAAATTGTAAAACTTGTAATTATTTTATACATTGTTTTAAATATAAATTGTAAACCTTAATGTAAAAACTTAACCTAATAAATGAAAAAAATTTGTTTGAAGTATCACGCTTGTTTTTATTTTACACAAAATTATTTAAACAATATCATTAGAAAATAGTTTGCGTATTGCGCTCTGCTTATTTAATTTTTTCGTGGGCTTGTCTGTGAAATCGAGAATAGATGGGGAGTGGTCGTCTATTATCGCTGGCGAGGATGACTGTAAACTGATAGGAGCATCGTTCTCATTGATAAACTAAATAATAATAATTTGTTAATATAAAATAAATATAATTAAATTAAATTTATGTATATTACCATGTTAATGGATCCATCGTTTACATAAGGTGCTAGGCATGTTGGTGAAGTATACCAGGGAGGCCGCTGTGCACAATTGTCCGAATTAAATCCATCAGCTGTGTCGTCTAAACATTCGAATGATGGTGAACTGGTAGGCTTGTCATGTGATAGCATTGGAGACATGGACACGATTTAAGATAGTATGGTTGCCCAACGAATCATGATAAAGTGTACTGAAATCACTATTAAAAACAGCTGGAAAATTAATCACCAGCGCTTGAATGTAACAGCGGCTATAGTTTATAAGCTCAAATACCGCGCAGAGTGGCGCGCTGTTTAGTATATTTCTTATTTTCTTCGTGATTTACGATTAAAATTATAACGAATGACTTAAAACATAGAAGTATGTAAGTAAGTAATAACAATTTTGATAAATATAAATTAAAATACTTTAATCTCTTTCTATGCTTTAGTATTTTGTAAATAATAAATCAAATAAATACCTATTTAAAATTTATTCAGCGAAAAAATTGTATATAATACAAATGTTAATATACCATTAAATTATATGAAACACAAAATAAAACTTAATAATACCACCCATCATGTGTTAACCAACTTTGAAAGTTTTTTTAAACTTTATTTTGTTTTTTATTGTTTTGATTATCCATGTATAATTAAGTTGTACATTTATTAACAGTATTTACCATTATTATGTTTTGTTTTTTATTGTTTTGGTTTAGTTGATAGCTGTGTTGCCTCATTCTCATGATCAGATAGTATGTGCAGATATCTGTTATCATATCTATTTGATGTTCAATGCATGGAAAATTAATATTGACATTTTTTCTAAAGAAATCTTCAAATATATATATCTTCAAAAACTGTAGGTTAGGAATTGAGGATAATATCACATAATAGACTTATTCTGTATTACTGTGGTAATAGGTAAATATTTGATATTCGTAAAGCGCGGGAAAAAATAATAAGCTCGTAAGTTCTGCTTCTATATTGACACACATCATGTCGCAAGCGCTAGTGGTCAATTTTCCAGCTGTTCTGGATATTTAATTTGGTTGCCAGTTTAAAACGATCTTATCATAGGTCGTCGGGCAACCATACTATCCTTAAATCGTGGACATGGATGAGTATCTTGGTGGTGATAAGGGTGAAATGAGCCTCACTTCGGATTCTGTGAATAACTAAAAATATTAAAATATATTAAATATTTTTACAAGTGATATGATTTTAAGGTTTACCTCGGGTGACATTTCCCCACTCCATCGTTGTGCCCATTGTTCAGCCAATTGTGATGAAGCATACATTTTGAGTTGACAGATGAAATTTATATCATTTTTTGGAATTTTTGAAATTACACTTTCGTCKCGTATATTTTTGATAAATGTCATCATTTCATCGGGTGTTTTCGGTGGTGAATCAACTTTTGGAGATTCAATATTGATATAGTTTAAAAACATATCGAATTTTTTTAAGACGGCTAGTTGTGTTATAATTGTTTTTCGTGTAATCGTTTCAAATATGCACCATTCCAAATATTGAACATGAATAAGATCCTCCCGATTTAACAGTACTTGACATTCAGTTTGTGTTTTTGATTCGATGACAAGCACATTTTCCCCTTGGTACACCATACTGGACGGCGAAATAATTTCGGTTTCCAGAAATAAATTTCGCTTATATTTTTGTGGTTTATCCAAAATAAACGATAATATATTTCCCATCGGCGAAAATATACGTTTTAGAAAATCCGGTGTTATTTTAACATGGCGCGATGGTGTTAATAAATGAACGGTGACTTGAAATTTTTCAGACGGGTCAATACCGATATGCATAAACTTACGAGCTGCAAAGTCGAATGTGTAGCTTGTGGAATGAATGAGTTCAGYTGGCGGTGTTGGAGAAATATATGTAAAATTCTTCTTTTTCTTATAAATTTCTTCCATATTTCTRATAGAAMCAGCCATGTTMATAATTATTTTTGATAGTACAAACACACMTTAAAACTCACTAAAAATTTTAAAGACTGAGCGTTTACGTGCACAACGGTGTAACGCAGTAGACGGACTAAAAGACTACCGGCTCTTTCAGTCAAGAATCACTACTGGGAGTGATTTTAGTGGGGCTGGTATATGGCAAATTGATATTTAATTGATTGACAATTTACATACGTCCGGCAGAAGGTACTAATACCTACTCAATGTCTCTTATTGTCAATACGTCTATCAATTTAAATGGTTTTKCTGGGGGTGAGGTACGGTGAGTTGGGTGAGTGTGAGGTTTTTGAATCGTCTATTTAATCCTACTTATTTAAAAACATTTTAAGTTCATTTAATTGATTTTCAAATCCATAACCTAAATAAGGTTTGGGGAAACCAAAGTTTCATGTTGGTACCACGAAAAAAGTGATAAAATAGATCTAAAACAATCATTTTTTAAACAAAACAAAAACATTTCTTCAATATCTAATTTTTTTTAATATTTTAAGATCCATACAACAACTATTATTCATTGAACATTTTTTAATTCATATTTTTTCGAATAAATTCTTAAAGCTCAGTATGTTCGTTATAATACATTGACATTCTGTCCTAGCTCTTTTTCCGTGCTAATCTATCCAAAGTTAATGATTTGTGGATTCAATTCCATAATAATAGTGTTATTATTAATTTAAATATAAACTTGTTTTCCAACTGAAATTTTCTATAAAATTGAAAATTTTTTTGTTGCATAATATACTATAAATTTAATTCAATTTTGTGGTTGTTTCAATATTATACAATATACTTTTAATATATTGGTAAGATTTCATAATATTATATGTATGACTATAAAGACATAGTGTTGTGCATATTTTAGACTATATTATATCTATTGTTATTCTAAGTGCATATTTTATATACATTTTTAATTTGGAATTAAATTTTTCTTTAAAATATATTGTATTAATTTAGGTGTAAACCTATAAGCATATTCAAGGAAATTAGTGTGGGTTGAGTTTTTCTCGTCTGTGAGACCATTTATGAACATTTATAGTTGAAATTATGAATCACCGATATGATTTAACAAATGTTTTCAATTTTTAAACAACGAACTCACATTTATGTATCATATTCCAGAGCATATTTTAAGTAATTTTCACTGGGTGGCACTTCAATAAAATTGTCTACCAGAGGAACATAGAAAGAAAATCAACTCTCCTATCTYAACAATTTTRATATAGGTTTATTAACTGTACTCTACTGAAAAATACATCTACAAGTTGTATATAGGTTTATTTATTGAGAATTTTAGATATTATTATTATATCAAAATAGCCGATTTTTCAATAATAAAACTTTGATAAAATAAGTAGAACAGAGTATATATATTTCTATCAGTATCTGTATTTAAAAAAATACGTGTTAAAATTTAAAAATATATGTTAAATTATATTATGGAAAAAAATGATTGTATAAATTCTTGATTCTGGTATAGCTCTGGGTCAGGTAGTTWCCTTCTTYTCTCTTTAGATTCCAGAAACTTAGCATTTTAATGACAGCTATATTATAATAGTATACAGTCAACAAACAGGATAAGATCATTAYTATTTATTAATACTAAAATTCGTCCAATATGGGCTTTTATAGCAAATTACGGACCGATTGAAAAATATTTCTCGAATGGCTGAGACTATCCAATCCGGCCCTAGACGAGTATAAGTATTTGATATTTCAATCACAGAACAATGCTATGAAATATTAATACTTCTAAACAATTGTATAAAAGTAGTATAAAATTAAAGTATGGTCGCCTCGCTTGTCTTTCATCAGGAGTACAGGACGAAAATTCAAAATGTGTAGAAAATTAGAAATGTTGTAATATAGCACCTTATTCGCACTCAACCTTCAATTTACGGCGACGATCGACAACTTCCGAAGAAATTGATAGCATTGTTAAAATTACGTGTATTATTTTCGTACTACATCAGTACAACTATATCTATTCGTGTAATTTATATTATCAATAGGTATATAATATAAACAATTCCGACAAAATAGTTGTGAGCATGTGACATGTTCTACATTCAATAAAATATTATTATTGTTTATTAWATRGTATGRGATAAACTATACAAGAGTCGAAAGCTTAAAATAGTTTTATGTTCTTTATACATATATACATAATAATTGACATTGATACCTATCGGTCGTTATGAGAATGTATTAGTCAGTGACAGTGTGGCACGATCACCCACCAGTGGGTAGCATTAAAATATCACTGGGGGGCACTAGTGCCCCGTACTTTGTATGTTAAAGTATGCTATGTCATATTCTGTTGCATATTTAAACTTTTTAGGGATATGTGGTCTGTAGTCTATATTTATATAACTATATACAAATGTTCCTGCAACTAAGAAAAATAACTGTCCCATAGATAACTACAGCTTACATCTGAACTAATTAAAATACCTCGTCGATAGCAAAACATGTGTTTTATTTTAATATGCATTTAACGCTGTAATGCATGTTAAAATATATTTGTATGTATATATTATCAAACGAATACATACATTTATTTTATACATTTTGATAAAGTTATCAGCTATGTATGACAATAATACATTACAATAATAATGTATGCACTCGTTTATATTGTGGACCTCGTGGGGCTGTTTCATTCATACACAAACGACAAACAAATATACTTTATAATATAATATATACTTCGCTTAGTTTACAATATACCTAATATTCATCAGCTCTATGCGACGTTGTGCTTGGGTGGTAACATTATATAGCGTGTATACTGCAGTACATAATAATATAATGTACTGCATCGTACTTTTACGACTTGTAATGTATATTTATTTTATATCCGAAGAACTCTTTCGCTCATCAGTATAGGTATCTACATCGATATTTTGTATTCTTTCTTTTTTCTGTTGCGGTCGTATAATATGTATATTATAAGAACCAGGTTAGGTACAACGTGTATTACCATATATAATAATATATCTATATCATACATGCCGCTGTATACTCGTAGAATGTATTAATATATTATGATATAATACGATATTAGATGTACTCACTATTTTTTCTCCCCATACGTAACTACACATCAAATTAAAAATAACAGAGCTCTAAACGTGTATTATTGTATGACATAAAAATATTGCAAGTATCGTGTGAGGTCAACGATGGGCTATATAGAACAACCTTACAACTTACAAGTGTATTTATAGTTTGAATAGAGTAGCACTATTCACATTCGAGTATTTATAAGGATTAGGTACCRTGATAACCGTTCATGTTACACCCCAGCATCAACTAATGTTATTATACTTATTAAGACCAAGAATTAGCCATACTTTGAGTTTACTTTAAAAAAGGATTAGAAGACGTAATGATGGGTTCTACTTACTGAGAAAAGATTAAGTAATTAAAACGTTTATTCGAATATCATAAATATAAATAAACCAMATTTAGAAAAAACCTTAATAGTCCACAAAATTTCAACTCTAATATAATTACAAAATATGTAGGTATCTTCAGATAGTTTTAAACAACTTCCCCTCAAGGTCAATGATGAGTGCGATCAAGTTTTTATGTTTAGGGGTACGTCAGCAAGTGTTTAATAATGTATAATATAATATACATAAACGTTTCTTTATAACAAACTTTATAGGTACAATTACAGTACGAGGTATATATAAATATATTACTCACACGTACATATATTCACGTCAAGACCGTCGTGGTGTATTGAAATATTGTTGTGTTTTTTAAACGACGTAATGGACAACATAAAATTTCCATTACAATGTGTATAATATTATTGTGTATTATCATAATATCGCAGTTAACATGAGAGCGGGCGCCCGAATTTCAACCCCTCTAGATTCGGTACCACGATTTACCTGTAGATGTGTATGAGGAACCCGTACAGTTTTTAATAATTTACAAGTCGTCGTCGGCGGCGGTGGTTAAATGAGAAGGCACTACTCGTCCATTATTATTATTACCATCATTGTATAATATACCTAATAGTTACAACGCGTAAATCTCTGTACCGCGAGTTATGATCTGTTACCCCAGTGCTACATATTATGATATTATATTATACAAACCATGGTGTAACCACCAGTGTATTTATTTATTAATAAATCATTTACATAATATTTTTTTGGTTCAGGTACCGCGTCATTATAATATTATAAAATATTGGGTACTTTATTACTCCATCGCGAAGTCCGGTTAGGATGTATCGGTGAGGTTTTCTAAGTACCTAGGTTCCAGCTTTGCGTTAAGTAGAATAATTAATAATAAAAAATAAAATAAAGTTAATAATAAATTAAGTTAGTAATATGCCATAATATAATAACGTCTGACAAGAGATGTATTTTACATATGTTTTTTTTCGATTTGCTTCGACTGTACAGTCTAAGTTTGGATTGTACTCTAGTCGTCATCGATGTCACGACTAGTCCATATGATCAGTTTTGTCATTTTTAATGCCTGTTTGGATTTTTGTGTCCCGGTTCCAGTATTTTTAAWTACAGCAAGTTTAATGAMAATTTAAAAGGATACATCTTAAATATTTTTAATTCACAGATTCTATTTTAATTTTTAATACGTTCCATTCGATGTAATTGACATGATTTTCTATTAAATGTAATACCTAGCTAAACTTGTGAAAATTATCCAATGTAAAACTTAGCTTTTTCCGATCAATTTTCAAAATTATATGTTTAGTTAAAATCATGTCTATACATATAGGTACAAGGTGTAACAGATAGAACTGACTTTTGGAATAACTTTTGTTCAAATTAATATTTTTATTTATTTTTTGTTCATTAAGTGACCCTATTTTTTTTCGGATTAATTCAAAATAGCCTATTTGTGAATCTGATTATAAAAACATTTTGATTGAAAAAAGATTTATCTATGTCAAGTACCTAGTTTATATTTTAGAATTTTTTTTT